GTTGGGTCCTGGGATTCAGGGCCCAACAGCGTCAACTGGAAAGAGCCAGGAAAGGGCTGGCCCCGGGGGGCTGAGATCCTCTGACTCAACAGACGCTGGTGTCCTGGCCTGGTGACTTGGGACATGCCATCCTCAGGCCACAGACACCCTGGGCGTTGGTTGGGTCCCAGCCTCCAGTGGGGGGTCTTGGCACAAGTGGGCAGTGACTGCTGGGCCACAACTGTGGTTTTCAGTTTAGGGTTTGGTCACACTACCACAGGGACAGAGCCTTGGGGTTCAGGGCCAGCAGGAACTGCTGCCCCTCCCAGGGACAGCCTGTCACTCCCACTCACCACTGCCTGGGCCCAAGGGCTGCTGACCACCCCCTGAGTCCCCCTGTCCCTGGAATAGCCTCTCACGCAGCAGAGCCAGGCTTTTATCTTTTCCTCCAGGGCACTGATGGGTGGCAGCTTCGTCTCACTGTAAAGCAACCCAGGCGGAGCTGTCCTCCTCCTCCCCTACTAGCGGGACCAAGGCAAAAACCAGCCCTGTCCCCACCCCGCCCAGGTCTCAGTCCAGGGGACCGACAGGGAAGGGAGGATGGGTGCTTCCCTGCCAGCTGGTGCCTGGGAGGGGCGGGGGCCTTGGAGAAGAGGGAACACAGGGCCCACCCAACAGGGGATGCCTGGGGCTTGGGGAGGGAGAGGCTTGGGCCGTACAATGGGGCTGCCCCTCCTGGGCTGAGCCAGTGCCTTCTGCCGGAGCTCAGAAAGTCCAGCCCTGAGATGGGATGGGTGTGGCCCAAGAGCAGTTCCCGAGGGATCGATCCCATCACCAGTCTGGGGCCCAGGGAGTCTGGCCCAGGACCTGCCCAGGGCATGGAGGGAACACCCTAGCCCTATCCCACCTGATGCCCCCAGGGGCCCTTGCATGACCCGACCTTCCCTGGTACACCTGCCTCTCCCTGCATCCCGGCTGCCGACCCTGTCGGTTCCTTGACTTTGCCCATCCTGCCCAGCCCAGAGACTGTCTCTCTGGCCAGCCTGGCCCTTCTTTGACCCTCATCCATCAGAACCCTCGAGCGAGGGACCTGGATCCATCCACACACCCACCTTGACAGCTGGCTCCCCGGGCTGCCCAGTGCTGCCAGGGAGATGCCAGAGGCAGCAAGGGTGAGTGAGGGCCCCACAGGCAGCCGGGATGGCCCCACAGTCCCATCTCCAGCCTCAGCTGCCTCTAGGGGCTGCTGTTGTCCATCCATCGGTCCTTAGCCTCCTCTGAGCCACGATGGGCTCCTGACTGTCCCGACTTGGCCTTCCTGATCTGCCCTCTGCCTTTGTGCTAATGGATCCAGCGGGGGGCAGGGTCTCCAGAGGGCCATGCAGAGCCCTGGGGACTGAGGCCCCTCTGCTAAGGGGTCCCAGGTGAGCTGCTGCCCCCTGCCCCACCCACGTGTTGTTCACCCAAGACCATCAGCTCCATCCTAGTCCGGCACCATTCAGGTGTGTCCCAGAAGTGGCACCTCCCTTTCTCCTTCCTGTGGCCCCCGAGGGACAGGCTCCAGGCTGGGCTCCCTTTCCCAGGCCCCAGGCCCCCTCTCAGCACCAAGGCAGGTGGCCTGCAGCCTCCCTGGCCTCACCCTGACATGCCCTAGCTGACTCCCTGCTCCTCTTTCCCTCCACCCTCACTGCCCCCACACCTCTCCCCATAGGGCAGCTCAGCTGGGCCCCCTGAGCCCTCAGAGACATACTGGATAACTGCCCACAGGCTAGGTCAGGCACCCCCTTGCCCTGTGGCCATAACCTGTGGGTCTCACTGAGGCAGGGCCCAAGGGGACAGGGCCAAACCCTCAGGCTGCCCCCTACTCTCATGCTGCCTTTGAGACCACTCTGCTGAGAGCATCTCCATCCCCACCTGCTCCTCCAAGATCCCTAGATGAGCCTCGCAGCTGTGACCTGCCGCCGGCCACCTGCAGGGTATCCAGCTGGAGTTCCTATGCTGGAAAGAAGGTTGGCGGCCAGAGGTGGTGGCTCATGCCTGTAATCCCAGCACTTAGGGAGGCTGAGGCAGGCGGATCACAAGGTCAGGAGTTCGAGACCAGCCAGGCCAACATAGTGAAACCCCATCTCTACTAAAAATACAAAAAATTAACCAGGTGTGGTGGCGGGCACCTGTAACCCCAGGTACTGGGGAGGCTGAGGCAGGAGAATCACTTGAACCTGGAGACACAGGTTGCAGTGAGCCAAGATCCCACGATTGTACTCCAGCCTGGATGACAGTGAGAAACTCTGTCTCAAAAAAAAAAAAGTTTGGCCCAAGCCAGGAAGATATGTCCTGTCTCAGAGAGGCCTTTCTAAAATAAAAACTCGTTCCAGAGGTGAGTTTGGTGGTGGGTGGGTGGTGGGGACAGAGTACTCACTGCAGACTCCCAAAAACTTTGTAAACTGTCCACATCCTTGGGCCCTGTCAACGTCCCTGTGACCCAGAGGGGTCCAGAGTGAGGGGGTTGAGGTGAGGGGTGTGGGGATGCAAAAGCATGGGCTAACCCCTTCCCTCCGTGCTTCCCAAGGGAGCCCAGGACCCTCCCACCAGGGCACATTGGGAGAGGCCTCCTTCCCTGGAGGGAGCAGCCTGAGCTGTACCTGCTCACACTTGGCAATGATGTCCCCGCTCCTGGGCAAGTAGTGTAGCCTCGTCTTCCTTTGTGTACATCCTGCGGGACAACATTGCCCGATGGCTATGCTGCACCTGAGCCCTTCAGAGAACACCTGGACCACTCCCAGGAACTCTGAGACTCTGCTGGCCAGGTGAGCCCCATGCCACCACTGCCCTCGGTGAAAAGGGGCTGGACCCAGCGGCCCCATGCCTGCTGGGGTCTCTGGAGGTCTCTGCCCCCGACCAGAGGTGGGCTCCTTCCTGAAGACTTGAGAATGGGGGGACCACGACACAGAGGCCTGTTGTCCCCAAACGCCCCAAGACAGGGCCACAGGGGATGGACTGCATCCCCCTGCTGAGGGGGAGGGGCCCATGATGCGCTATTCCGGGCACCTGGAGGCAGACAGGGATCAGGGACCAGAGAGCTCCATATGCTCAGCCTCCGTGATCGCTCAGGGACCACGAAGATGCCCAGTTTCCTACAGGGAACAAGACATTTCGTGACTGCTCCGTTTCATTCCACCTCCACCAAACTCACCTTTGGCTAGCAAAGCCGCGTCAAGAATAGCAGCAGCCAAACGGGAGGGCACTTGGTTTGGGCCAAAGCCTCCCTCTGTGCTTATGGAGATGTCTCAGGCAGAGGGATGGTGGGTTCCACTATTCCGAGCTGTCAGCTGTCAGTACAGGAAGGGGCCTTGTGTTCTTGGATCACCAAGAAAGAACGAGAGAACTTGGGACTTGGTCCTGGAGAACCCCAGAGGGACCCCTCCCACGAACAGTCAGGGAAACACGAGGCCTCTAGAGGAGCAGACAGAGAAAGGACCACATGGGGAAGAACCCCAGACTCGGCGAGCAGGATGAATGATCATCGCTCCTGAAGTCTGGGTTGACCAGATCTCCTCCTACAGGGACCCACCTTAGGGCACAGACTTGGACGGAGGACCACTCTCCACCCCACCCACAGGGGCTCCGTTCTGGGGGCTCTTCCAGGGTAAGGCTCAGGCCCATTGGGGTCAGAAACCCCAGGCAGATGTGCAAATGTGCAATCCAGGACAGAGAGGCCACGGAGGTCAAGGCTTGAGTTCAGCCTGGCACAGGGGAGGGCTGAGAGCACGGCCCAGCGTCATGTCTGGGTTTCTGGGCCAGTTACTGCCCCCTGACCTCAGGCATCTCACCTGTTCAGTAGGTACACTTGGAGACAGCACCCCCCCACCCCCCCGCCCCCCGCCACCTTGGGGATGCCGTAAGGATGGAGGAGATGACCATCTACAAGGTCAGCACAGAACAGGCACCCACTGAGTGCTGTTGCGCACCGGGTAGTGACTGTCCCCAAGCCAGTAGCAGGGAAGAGAGCAGGTTGTGCTCTCCTAAGTCTGATCAGGCAGCGGGGCTGAGATGAGCCTCTCACCTAGAAAAGTGTCCTCTGTGCACAGCCACTTACAGACACCGCTGTGTCTCCAACTGCTCCACGACACGGAGGCGGGCGGAGGGCACTTGGCACAGTGACAGCATCGGTATGAGCCACCTGTCACAATGGGCCCCTGCCTGGCTCTGCAGGGACCAGAGTCGGCAGCGTCCCCTGCCCCCCGAATGGTCAACATGGATGCGTGCAGTTTGTGCATGTGAGCATGCATGTGTGTGGGTGAACACATCTCTCCTCCAGCTGGTCCTGTCTGCCCCACTCACGCCTGCATCCGGGTCCCTGTCACTGTCGCCCCAGGGCTTGTGGTCAGCATCAGAGCACCCATGGGGACTCCCCAGCCTCTGCTCTCTCCATGCTGGGTGGTTCTGGGGAGGCAGATGGGGCAGGGGCATCGGGCAAAGGGCAGAGGGCAGGTGCCCCCCTAGGGGTGACTTGGGTACTGTGTAAAGTGCCAGGTCTGCGTGGCAGAGCCAGATTCAACACGCCTTCTCACCTCCTTTCCCCAGAAGCCCACTGGGGTGCTGTGACTGGTATACCCCTCCCTACAGAAGGAGGCTTCAAGGACAAACCCCTGACCTGAGATCACCCAGGCTCACACTGGCCAGGGCCCACTGACCAGGCCTCCCATGGTTGAGCTGCCACTGAACAGGTCCTTGCTGACCGCCCTCACAGTGACCAGGTCCCACTGAGCAGACATGGACTGACCGGGTCCTGCTGACTGCGTCCCACAGACCAGGCCCTGGCTTGCCAGACCCCACTGACTAGGCCACAATGACAAGGCTGCAACTGATGAGGCCCCCACTGACCAGGCCCCAATGGATGGGCCCCACCGAATAGATCTCACCAATCAGATCCCAGCTGAACAGGCCCCAACTGCCCAGTCTCCTCTGACCAGGCCCCAACTGCCAGAGCCCTGCTGGCCAGGCCCCCAGCTGCTGGACCCCCTTTGACCACGCCCCAGCAGTTGGATCCCTGGCAACCAGGTCCCAACTGCCACATCCCCCCAGCCAGGCCCCAGCTACTGGACTCCTACCGACCAAGCCCCAAATTCTGGATTGCTGACCACCAGGCCCCAACTGCCAGATATCTCTAACTAGACCACACTGATCTGATCCCCACTGACCAGCCCCCAACTGCTGGACCCCCTCCAACCAGGCCCCAACTAGGAGACCCCCACTTATCAGGCCCCAACTGCCAGACCTCACTGACCAACCCCCAACTCCCAGGACACCCACTGACCAGGCCCCAATCGCTGATCCCTGTCAAACAGACCCCAACTGCCACATCCCGCTAAACAGTCCCCCGCTGTCATGTCCCCTCTGCCCAGGCTACAATTGCTGGACTCCCTCCAACCAGGCCCCAACTAGGAGACCCCTGCTGACCAGGCCCCAATGTCCAGACCTCATTGACCAGGCCACCCTGATCTGAGACTCACTTCCCAGGCCCCACCTGCTGGACCCCCATAGACAAGACTGCAACGGCCAGATCTCTGCTCACCAGGCCCCAACTTCAAGACCCACTTGTCAGGCCCCAACTGTGGGACCCCTGCTAGGCAGCCAGGGCCCAACTACTGGACCCTCACTGTCCACGCCCCAACCGCAGGACCTGACTAGGTCTCACTGATCAGATCCCTGCTGACCTTGCCCCAGCTGCAGACCCCTGTCTGTTGCAGAATATTTTGTAGACAGAAGAGACCAATGTGTGAAACAGGAGGATTTTATTGAGGTGGACACTGGCTCAGCGGACCAGCATCCCAAGGCTGAGCGCCTAACAGAGACAGGGCTTGACTTTCTATACATCCAGGATGATGTAGCAGCTAACAGGTTTCCAGAAGCCAGAAAAAAGAAGAGTCCATTAATTTGTAACATGTCTTGTGATGTACGTTACATTTGAAAACAGCATTTTGAGAAACGCCTTGCACATCCTTTGGGTGTTATTTGCCCTGTGACCTTGCAGCTGGTCAGCAAGAAGAACAGGAGTCTTGAGATGCCGGGAACTTGCTGAGAACATGGGGAGGATAGGAGGGTAGGTTGTATAGGGAGTTAATTAATTTCAAGCAGAGCTGGGGGTTAGGTTTGATATTGAACACAACACAGTAAACTTTATTCTGCAGCAATTACAGACAACTTTTGTTATTATTTAATTTTCCTCTTTATGTCAACCAGGCCCCAACTGCTGGACCCCACCGACCAGGCCCCAGCTGCCAGCCCTCTGCTGACCAGGCCCTAAGAACTGCCAGCCCCTGCTGACCAGGCCCTAAGAACTGCCAGCCCTCTGCTGACCAGGCCCTAAGAACTGCCAGCACCTGCTGACCAGGCCCTAAGAACTGCCAGCCCCTGCTGACCAGGCCCTAAGAACTGCCAGCCCCTGCTGACCAGGCCCTAAGAACTGCCAGCCCCTGCTGACCAGGCCCTAAGAACTGCCAGCCCCTGCTGACCAGGCCCTAAGAACTGCCAGCACCTGCTGACCAGGCCCTAAGAACTGCCAGCCCTCTGCTGACCAGGCCCTAAGAACTGCCAGCACCTGCTGACCAGGCCCTAAGAACTGCCAGCCCCTGCTGACCAGGTCTCACTGGTCAGATGCCCACTAAACAGTCCCCTGCTGACCAGACCCCACTGGCCAGACCTTCCATGATCTGACCCTCATTGAATGGATCCCACTGAGCAGATCACCATTACCATGCCCTCACCAACCAACACCCAGTGAGTAGGCTTCTGATGACCAGGCCCACACTTCCAGGGCGCTAGTGACCAGGTCACCATGACAAGGCCCCATTGACCCAAACCCTGCTGACTGGTCCCAGCTGGCCAGTATCTCAATGGCAAGGTCACTGCCAACAATGCCCCTTCCAACCAGGCCACTGCTGACCAGGGCCCCGCTGACCATGGCCCCGCTGGGGGGAGTCCTTCAGTGGTACTGTATTGGCTGACCACACCCCTGGATGGCCAGGCCTCTGCTGACACAGTCCCCACAGAACATGTCCCCAGAGACCGGGTCCCAGATAACCAAATCCTGCGGACCGGGGTCACTGACCAGGCCACACTGGTCATGCTTCCAATGGCAAGGCCTTCACTGACTGACCAGTCCACGCTGCCAGGCCGCAGCTGAGTAGCCCACAATCATGAGGTTCCCACTGACCAGGTGCTAATCCCCCACGCTACTAACTAGATTCTACTCTTCAGGTCCTGCTGACCAGACCCCCAGAGGCCGGGTTGCCACTGAACAAAACACCACTCCCTTTGCCCCCACTGACTAGGTTTTTGTTTTGTTTTCTTTTGTTTTTTTTGAGATGGAGCCTCACTCTGTCACCTAGGCTGGAGTGCAGTGGCGGGATCTCGGCTCACTACAACCTCTGCCTCCTGGGTTCAAGAGGTTCTCCTGCCTCAGCCTCTGGAGTAGCTGGGATTACAGGCACGAGCCACCACGCCTGGCTAATTTTAAATTTTTAGTAGAGATGGGGTTTCACCATGCTGGCCAGGCTGGTCTTGAGCTCCTGACCTCCGGTGATCCACTTGCCTTGGCTTCCCAAAGCGCTGGGATTATAGGCGTGAGCCACTGACCCACCGGCCCACTGACTAGGTTTTTACAGATAAGGCTCGTACTGAGTAGACCGCAGTGACCCATTCCTCACTGAGCAAAACCCCAGACTTAGGCCCTGCTGACCGGGCTTCCCCTGAACAGGCCCGCACTGAGAAGACTCCGGCTGACCAGGTCACCACAGACAAGGCCCCCAGTGACTATTCCACTGACCACGCGTTTGATGACCAGGCCCCCACTGACCACCAGAGTGAATGACCAGGGCAAAGTGTCAGATCATCCAAGTTTATTGAGCCAATGTGAAGAGGACCCATTGGGGAAAATGTGAGTCACAGCAGCAACTGTGGCTGTGTGTTCCAAACAGATGCTTAAGAGTTTTGGGATTTATTCTGTTAGTTCAAACCACACCATTTCGTAAGCCCTCTGCCATTTTGCAGGCCTTGATCAAAGTGAAACATTCCACAGGGTTTTGGGCTGTGAGAAGTGTCCTGCCAACTGCCTGACTTTTTTTTTTTTTTGAGATGGAGTTTTGCTCTTGTTGCCCAGGCTGGAGTGCAATGGCATCCTCTTGGCTCACTGCAACCTCTGCCTCCCGGGTTTAAGATATTCTCCTGCCTCAGCCTCCCGAGTAGCTGGGATTATAGGCATGCACCACCACACCTGGTTAATTTTGTATTTTTAGTAGAGATGGGGTTTCTCTGTGTTGGTCAGGCTGGTCTTGAACTCCTGACCTCAGGTGATCCGCCTGCCTTAGCCTCCCAAAGTGCTGGGATTACAGGCATGAACTACTGTACCCAGCCTTGAGAGCAGAACTTTTTGACTTGGATGAAGCTCAGCTTATTACTTTTTCTTTCTTTTTTTTTTTTTTTTGAGACGGAGTTTCGCTGTTGTTACCCAGACTGGAGTGCAATGGCACGATCTCGGCTCACCGCAACCTCCACCTTCTGGGTTCAAGCAATTCTCCTGCCTCAGCCTCCTGAGTAACTGGGACTACAGGCGCGCACCACTATGCCCAGCTAATTTTTGTATTTTTAGTAGAGACGGTTTTCACCTTGTTGACCAGGAGAGTCTCACCTTGTTGACCAGGAGAGTCTCACCTTGTTGACCAGGAGGGTCTCCATCTCTTGACCTTGTGACCCACTCGCCTCAGCCTCCCAAAGTGGTGGGATTATAGGCGTGAGCCACTGTGCCCGGCTTCTTTTATGAATTATCTTTGGTGTCATATTTAAAAATTTATTGCCAAACCCAAGATCATCTGGATTCTCTATGTTATTTTCTAAGAGTTTTTAGAATTTTATGTTTTACATTTAGATCTACGATCCATATAAATTTTTAAAATTATTTTATATATTTTAATTAATTTATTTATTTTGAAAGAGGGTCTCACTCCTGCTGCCCAGGCTGGAGTGTGCAGTGGTGGCACAATATTTGCTCAGTGCAGGCCCAACTTCCTGAGCTCAGGTGAGCCTCTTACCTCAGCCCCCATGCACCACCATGCCTGGCTAATTTTTTACATTTTTAGTAGAGATGGGGTTTTGCCAGGTTGCCCAGGCTGGTCTTAAACTCCTGGGCTCAAGCGATCCACCCGCCTCAGCCTCCCAAAGTGCTAGGATTTCAGGCGTGAGCCACCTCTCCCGGCCTTATGGTCCATTTTGAATAAACATTTGTGAAGGGAATAAGATCTGTGTCTAGATTTTTTTTTTTGTATGTGGATGTCCAGTTGTTCTGGCACAATTGTTTTTGAAAAGACTATTTTTCTTCATCATGTCGCCTTCTCACCTTTGTCAAACATCAGTTGACTGTACCTGTGTCGATCTATTTCTGGGCTCTCTGTCCTGGTCCATTGGCCCATTTGTCTTTTCTTTCCCTGATATGACATTGTCTTGATTACTGTAGCTTTATGGGAAGTCTTGAGGTTGGATAGTTGGTTTTAATCTTTCAATATTGTGTCGGCTATTCTGGGTCTTTTCCTCTGCACAGAAACTGTAGGATCAGGTTGCTGATATTCACAAAATAACGGTCTAGGATTTTTATTGAGATTGCTTTGAATCTATAGATCAAGTTGGGAAGAACTGACATCTTGAAAATGTTGCGTTTTCTTCGTCGTGAATGTGGAATATCTCTCTATTCATTTCGTCCTTTGATTTCTTTCATCAGAATTTTGTCATTTTCCTCCCATAGATCTGTACCTGTTTTGTTAGATTGATGCCTCTGTAATTCAATTTTCAGGGAACCAATGTCAATGGTTTTGTGGTTTTGATTTCAAATTCCAATTGTTCATTGCTATATAGAAAAGAGATCGACTTTTATGTATTAACCTTGTATCCTGCAAACTTTCTACAAAAGCTTGTACATTCTAGGAGATTTGTTGTTGTTGATTCTTTCAACTTTTCTGCACAGACAATCGTAGCTTCTGCAGACAAAGACAGGTTTTGTTGTTGTTGTTGTTGTTGTTTTTGAGATGGAGTCTCACTCTGTCACCAGGCTGGACACCACCTCAGCTCACTACAACCTCTGTCTCCCAGTTTCAAGCTATTCTCCTGCCTTAGCCTCCCGAGTAGCTGGGACTACAGGCATGCACCACCATGCCCAGCTAATTTTTCTATTTTTAGTAGAGATGGGGTTTCACCACATTGACCAGGATGGTCTCCATCTCTTGGCCTCGTGATCTGCCTGCATCAGACTCCCAAAGCGCTGGGGGTTACAGGTGTGAGCCACCACGTGCCCTGCCACAGACAGTTTTGTCTCTTCCTTTACAATCTGTGTATTTTTAATTTTTTCCTCTTATCTTATTGCATTAACTATGACTTCCAATACAATGTTGATATCCTTGCCTGACTGCTGATCTTAGCGGAAAAGCTGCTACTGTCTCACCGTTAAGTATGACGTTAGCTGTAGGGCACTTTTGCATATTCTTTATCAAGTTGAAGAATTCCCTTCCAATCCTATTTTACTGAGCATTTAAAAAATCATGAATGGGTGCTTACTTTTTTTTTATCAAATGCCTTTTCTGCATTTATTGTTATGATTAGGTAATTTTTTCTTTAGCCTGTTGATATGACTGTGAGCCAACGTTAATGGATTGTAAATGTTGAAGCAGTCTTGTGTACCGGGGATAAATACTGCTTGGTTGTGGTGCAGTTCCTTTTATACACTGTTGGATTCAATTTGCTGGTATTTTACTGAGATAGCTGTGTTCATGAGAAATACTGGTCAATATAATTTCCTTTTATTTTCTTCATTTCTTCCTCCCTCCTTCCCTTCTTTACTTCCTTCCTGCATTTATCCCTTACCTCCTTCTTTCCTCCCTTCCTTTTGTTCTTCATTTTCTGATAATGTGTTTGCTTGCCACTGTAGTTAGTGTAGTGCTGATCTCGTAGGAAGAGTTGAGAAATATTTTCTCTGCTTCCATTTTCCAAAAGAGACAGTGGAAAATTAGCATAATTTCTTTCTTGTATGTTTGGTAGAATTTATCAGTGAACCAATCTGGGCTTGAGGCTTTCTGTTCTGGAAGGTTAATAATTAATTATTGACTCATTTCTCTTTTTAAAATTAGTATTCTCCTATTTTATTTAAGCTGTCAGAACAAAATACTAGAGGGAAATATTTTTATGACACGGAAACAGATTTTTCAATGATTATAGGCCTATTCGGATTGTCTATCATAGTTTCTTTTCTTTTTGTGACAGGGTTTTGCTCTGTTGCCTAGGCTGGAGTGCAGTGGCACAATCTCGGCTCACTGCAACCTCTGCCTCCTGAGTTCAAGTGATTTCCCTGCCTCAGCCTCCTGAGAACCTGGGATTACAGGTGCACACCACCACACCTGGCTAATTTTTGTATTTTTAGTAGAGACAGGGTTTCACCATATTGGCCAGGCTGGTCTTGAACTCCTGACCTCATGTGATCCACCTGCCTCCGCCTCCCGAAGTGCTGAGATTATAGGCATGAGCCACTGCACCCAGACTAGGAATATTTTTATGACATGGAAACAGATTTTTCAATGATTACAGGCCTATTCGGATTGTCTATCATAGTTTCTTTTTTCTTTTCTTTTTGTGACAGGGTTTTGCTCTGTTGCCTAGGCTGGAGTGCGGTGGCACAATCTCTGCACAATCACTGCAACCTCTGCCTCCGGAGTTCAAGTGATTTCCCTGCCTCAGCCTCCTGAGAACCTGGGATTACAGGTGCACACCACCACACCTGGCTAATTTTTGTATTTTTAGTAGAGACAAGGTTTCACCATATTGGCCAGGCTGGTCTCGAACTCTTGACCTCATGTGATCCACCTGCCTCCGCCTCCCAAAGTGCTGAGATTATAGGCATGAGCCACTGCACCCAGCCTAGGAATATTTTTATGATATGGAAACAGATCAGTTTTCAATAATTATAGGCCTATTCAGATGGTGTATTACACTTTATTTCTTTATTCTTTTCCTTCTCCTTTCTCACATATTTTGGATAGACCAAAGGTGAATGATAGTATATACATATGATCCAATATTATGTAGCTGATAAAAATTATGAGAAACGTAAGGCTTATATCAATTGTTTACATACTTAAATGATAAGCATGTAAAATATTTACACAGTAAGTATAAAGATCAAAGGACATTATGAAAACTAAAGTTAGGTAAACTGTACAGGTGTTTAAAGAGATTATTTGTTAAGGCTAGTCAGGCAGAGTGGTATACAGGAAAGAAAACGAATTTTATTTTATTGTCGATATTATTTTTTGAGATAGGGCCTCACTCTGTCACCCAGACTGGAGTTCAGTAGCACAATCAGGGCCTCAAACTCCCGGGCTCAAGTGAACCCCTCACCTCAGCCTCCCGAGTAGCTGGGACTACAAGCATGTACCACCACACCCAGCTAATTCTTCATTCATTCTTTCTTTCTTTTTGAGACCGAGTCTCACTGCAGCCCTGGCTGGAGTGCAGTGGCGCCATCTCGGCTCACTGCAACCTCTGCCTCCTGGGCTCAAGTGAACCTCCTACCTCAGCCTCCTGAGTAGCTGGGACTACAGGCATGCATCACCACACCCTGCTAATTTTTTGTATTTTAGTAAAGATGGGGTTTCACCATGTTGCCCAGGAGGGTCTCAAACTCCTGAGCTCAGGTGATCTGCCCACCTCAGTCTCCTAAAGTGCTGGGATTACCGGTGTGAGCAACCAGGCCTGGCCCCAGCTAATTCTTTAAATTTTTGTAGAGTCGGAGTTCCACTCTATTGCCCAGGCCATTCTGGAACTCCCAGGCTAAACCAGTCCTTCCACCTTGACTTCCCAAGGTGCTGGATTACAGATGTGAGCTACAAGTCCTGCCCAAGAAAAGCGAGTTTAAACCCACTGACATTATATTTCTAATGCCAGCAGAACCACTTACTAGCTTTGGAATCTCAAAAAAGCATTTTAAAGCTCTGAGAGTCCTAGCACTGCAATAATGACCCAAAAAATTCTAATTACAGGGTTTGGAAGTAGGAACCACTCCGTCATTGCGATTCTCTCCTCTCTTCTTGTTGAATTAAATTCCTAATTTCAAAATGCAAATGAAAGTAAATAAAAGCATTGGGGAACGACCTTGCCCTGTAGTATGAAAGGGGAAGATTCTCAAGCACAACAGCCTCCGATGAAATTGCCACAGCTCCACCTAGAAGAGAGATGTGAGACTTCGGATGCTAAATTGACCAGCACCCTAGCATCAATCCCATGTTCTGTCAGCAGACCAGGAAGTGTCCATGACCATGGACAGAAAATCATGTTTGGAAAGGAAGCTTGCTGCTCAATCCCTTCTGTGCCCCTCTGCCTGAGATCTCTCCCCCACCATTTTATTTGTTGATAAGCTATCCAGACAACGTTCTTCCTGTACTGAGCCAGGAAGGAAATGTGTGAGATTTGATGGAGGCAGTTTTCTTTTAAGACTTGGAACCAACCCAAATGCCCATCAATAATAGACTGGATAAAGAAAATGTGGCACATATACACAGTGAAATACTATGCAGTCATAAAAAAGGATGACTTCATGTCCTTTGCAGAGACATGGATGAAACTGGAAACCATCATTCTCGGCAAACTGACACAAGAACAAATAAAATAAAATAAAATAAAATAAAATAAAATAAAATAAAATAAAATAAAAAAACAAAAAATGGAAAAAAAGAACTAGTGGAGAATATTTGTGAAAAGTTGTGTCAAGTGGAGAATATTTGTGTAGATCTGGGCAGCCCAGAGCAGAGTGACCAGAAGATGGGTCTGCAGGCTGGTATGGGGCTGGACATCTCCACACAACCTCATAGTCCTGGGGCCCAACCCTCCACCCAGGCCATGGGAGCACGTGAGACAAGAGTTGGGCAGGGTAGACCTTTAATCCACTCTAATAGGCTGGAGTGTGGTGCTTCCTCTTTGACCCTTCTAGCCTCCACTCCCAATGTATCTCTGCGCAGAAGGCTTGGCTAGGTGTGTCAGACATTGTAAATCCTCAGCATCAATCATGCTTTAACCTAGAATCCAGAGTCCAGGCAGGGACAGGAGAGGCGAATGTGTAGATATCTTCTCCCTTATCAGGACAGGACTCAGCATCAGAAAGTTCACCTCCACTGGGCCAGAGAGTGAACCAGAAAACCCTGAGGTGAAGGTGTGTCCATTGGTGGGTGCTTCTTTGCTCCCAGACCTCCTTTGGATTAATTTCTCCCCAGGATAATGGGATCAAACACTAAATCCCTGGAGTTCATAGCCTGATGGTGACCCTGACTCTGTTTGTCCCACTCTAAAGTGAGAGGATTGTTTGAGCCCAGGAGGTCAAGGCTGCAGTGAGCAATGATTGCACCACTGCATGTTAGCCTGGTGGTCACTTTCCTCAGAGTTGTACTGATGAAAGAGGCAGGGCTGACCTGGTATGGTCTGCGGTGATCGGAGTGACCCAAGATCCTCGGTTCCTATCTCGCAAATGAAGGACCCACCGAGTCAGGGCAGAGGTGAAAAATAAGGGATAGCTAGAGGCTTGGAGTAGCTTGACTGCTGTGGGGATTGCAGGGGCCAGTGCAGAGGGGGCCATGTCCTCCTTTTTGTCCCCAGACTTGGAGACACCTTGTGTGTTTCAACAGGGGAACTTGGAGCAGGACTCAATGGTGAGTGCCCCCTTACAAACAGCCAGCGGGAAGAAAGCAAGGTTGAACGACAGAGCTCAGGCAACCCACCAGCCTTAGCTTCCCAAAATGCTGGGATGACAAGTGTACCACCACACTGGGTCAGGGCGTGGACTTTAACTATTATACCTAAAGGATGTGCCTTCTTCAATAAAAACCATCCTTTCCCTTGTTAGTTACTGCAGACTACAGATGACACCAGAAAATGAACACACGAAGCCAGACACACAGGTTCATAGAAATCCATACCCAATGTTGTTGTTGATTTGTCTGCATGCCACAGCCCTGAACTCAGTGTGGGTTCACTTGGAGTGACCCCCAAATCAGTGCATCAGCACTATCAGGCTGCCAAATCCCAGTTACTCACATGAAAGCAGTGCCATGCCAGTAGGTCACAGGTGCAAAGCTCAGAGCTATCTAGGGCTTCTGATCAATCTCAGGTGAGTTCAAATGTCAAAATTTCATACATGGAAGATACAAGAAGTAGGGCTGGCCCTGACAGATGCTGGACACCAGAGGGGACATTGAAATTTTTGCTGTAGGGGCGTCTCTACTTTTTCTAAGTAGCCAAAGTGTGTAGAGGTGTGGGAGTCAGTGGTTACCCCCCTAAGGCCTTCAAAACACTGCCTTTGGATGCTGACAGAATGTCCAGGTGTCTGGAGGATGCTGCAGGGGTGAGAGGAGGGTGCAGGGGAAGGAAGAGGATCTGTCTCCTTCAGCACCAGGGACAGTGACTGCCCTGGGATTCCCTGGCCTCCTAGGCTAAGGTGCATCCCGTACACTCCAGCAGCACAAAGTCCAAATACCAGGAGCCTTGCAGGGTCCCACAGAGTGGAAACCTGGGAGGATTACCAGTTGTACACACAGAGGGAACAGATGTTGCAAGTGAAATACATAAACATGTAAATAATTATACATACATAAACAAGTACATGTCATGAATAAAAGTTATTCATGCTGGAGTTTCTGCAGATATGACAAATAGAAGCACATGCATTTATGCACTCTCTGGCTCATGTCTGTGAAAATGTCGCAGGCATGCCTGCTGTTCTGTACCTCCCTCTCTAAGCACCAGATCTTGCCTCCTTTGACATGTGTGCATATAAAGATGTATTTTAAACAATCCTCCTCCTCATCAATTTTATGACTGGTTAAGTACGGGGCCCATTGCCATAGAGTATCTACCTTCTAATATTCTGTAAAGGAATAGGGTGTGTGGTTGTGTGTGTGTGTGTGTGTGTGTGTGTGTGTATGTATGCGTGTGCTGAGCTCTCCATGCTGGGGGGCATTCGAGCAGAGACTGTCAGGGACGCAGTGGCTGGGCTGTGCAGAGTTCACCTCTTCATTGGATGGGAGGCTGGGCTCCATGGGTTGTCCAGTTCTCAGCCCCAGAACAGCTGATGTCCTCCCCCAAAATTCACCTGTGAGTCTGTCTCTGCACCTGGCAGGAGTTTAAGCTTTCCTGTTTTTCCTCACCGAAAACTTCACATTCAGGCCAAGTCTCCCTCATGGAGAGCGTGAGGTTTCTCCCTGAGCCATTATCCACAGCCAAAGAGAGCAGGTGGTGAGGACAGGCTGGACCTTTAGGGCCCTTCTCCCAGACAGTGCAAGGCCATGCCTCTGCCTCCTTTGGGATCCAGGTCAGACTCCATATCCTGCTTACACAGTGACCGCAGCAACAGCAGGAGAAGTGAGTTGCCCTTGCTGAGCCCTTACTCCACCTTGTGAATTTTGCATGGATTGTCTGTTTTAAGTATTGTGACAACCATGTGAGATGGGTGTTGCCAAAACGCCCATTTACAGACGTGAAGGCGCACAGCCTGGTGGTGAGGGGGCACAATGTGAGGCTGGCTGGGCGGTCTGGGTAACCAGCCTGGCTCCACCAGCTGTGCAACTGTGACTGGTCACTTAAATACCTTCCAGGCTTAATGTTTCATTTGTAAAATGAAAAACAAGGTGGTTAACATACTTAAAAGACTTAAAGCAGGTTCCATGACTCTTGCTGGCAAACGGTGGTGGCCACCATTCCTGCTCTAGGCTGCCTGCCCATCCCAGGCACACAGGAGGTCTGCAGTGAGCTGAGCCCCTCTAGCCACTGGGGACACTTTCTTCTGTGTCCCTAGGACCCTGCCTGGTTCATCAAATTCTGGTTTTTCTCCCTGAGCCTAATAGAACTGCCAGCAGGTGAGGTCTGTCCTTGCAGAGGGGTAGGGACTCTGGGGGATGCACCCCACCCCACTGAGGCTGTAGGGCCAGCTTCCTGAATCTCCTGGCTGATTGAGCTGGCAGTAGTGGAGGTCTGGGGGCTCTCCAATACCCAGCCAGTGTCAGGAGTACTGTCTTCCCCACCGTCCTGCTCAGCAGTTCTGCTAGGAGCCCCATCCTTCGAGAACCCTCCCTTCCAAGTCCACCCAACAGGGCAATTCTGGACAGGATCCAGGGAGGGCCAGGAGGGGAGCCCTGGGTCTGTTGGGAGGAGCGTCCTGGGTGTGGAAGGAGGAGCCAGGTGCTGATCCAGTGGCCTCCAGATATTTCCCCTCTGGGCCACCACATTGCCTGAGATTCCTCCATTGTAAATGTCCCTGTGTCAATTTGTCATTGACCCTAATGAATGGGTGCAGAACAGCATGGCAGAAGAAAAAGGTCTGGGCTTGAGGGTCTCGCAAACCTGGCTTCGGTGAGCTCTGCAACTTGGGCTAGAGGCCTGCCCTCCATGACTCAGTTTGCTCTTGTGTTCAATGGACGCCCTCCCTCCTCTGGACGCCATCACTCGGGTCTCTCCAACAGTCCCACAGCTCTGGCCTAGAGAAATGAGGGGAGACTGGTGGGAAGGCTTTGGGCATGGTGATGCAGGCGAGCATCTGACACGAGAAGGTGCACCTGACCTAGAGTAGGGGACACAGTGGGCATGCCTTCATCTAGAGCCCCCGCCACACAGTAGGAGTGCTTTGTGGAGAGTGCCTTGCATACAGTAGGTATTCTTTGTAAGAACTTTGCACCAAGTAAGTTTATGTAGAGCATTTGACACATGGAAAGAATGCTTTACTTAGAGCATCTGGCACACAGTAGGTGCCTTATGTAGAGTACTGGACACATGGAGTCACAGTTTATGAAGATTACCCAGCACCCACAGTGGGTACACTTTGTGTGGAGCCCTTGGCACACAGTAGGTGCACTTTACATAGATCACCAGGCACACAGTAAACATGCTCTGTGTACAGCATCTGACACATAGTAGGTGTGCTTGTAGAGCAGCAGGCGCAGAGTAGGTACACTTTACATAAGTTAGTCTGCACAAATTTCACTTTATGTAGAGGACCGAGAACACAGAAGCAAGATTTTCTGTAGAGTGTCCAGCACACAGTGGGCACACTTTACATGGAGCACCTGGCACATGGTACACAACATGTACACAGAGTACCAGCACATGGTACGTGTGCTTTATGTGGAGCCCAGCACACAGTAAAAGTACTCTGCATATGGTCTTTTGCAAAGAGCAGAGACTGACACGCAGCAGCTAAAGTGCTGGCTGCCAGCCCCTTCCCCTTGCTCCCTGTTTTTCAGGCTCCCTCCTCAAATCCTTCATCTGTCCCCATCTAAGTCCCATTCTCCTGCGATCCCTCCTGTGTCCACCTCTAAGGCCTCATCCAACATCCCATTTCCCACATGGGAAGCCTGAGTCCAGGAAGGGCTCACCGCCCACAGTCTGAGCAAGGACAGGGCAGAACAAGGACTCCACTCAGGGCCCCTGGCCCTGCCCTCCCCTCCCTGGCCCCATCGTTCATGGCCCCTCTCAGCCTTACCTCCCACCCCTATCTCTGTTCTCCTGCACTGAGCCCAGCCTCCAGGTTTTCCCCTCCAGTGGGGCTCTTTATCTCTAAAATCTTCCCTGGTCATCCCCAGCACAGTTAGATACTTCGTTTCTGCCCCTGTCTGTCATGTCTTGACCCAGGCCCTGGGCTGCCTGCAGGCAGGACTTGAACTCCTGCTAGGCCATGAAGGCAGAGGCCAGAAGCTTCTGCCTCTGAATCTCCCAAGTCTGCAGCGAGAAACGACATGGCGAATTCCTG